AAGAAAGAAAGAAAGAAAGAAAGAAAGAAAGAAAGAAAGAAAGAAAGAAAGAAAGAAAGAAAGAAAGAAAGAAAGAAAGAAAGAAAGAAAGAAAGAAAGAAAACATATTCAGGAGTATTCAGAGGTCCAAAGAAACAAAGATGAAGAGAAAGCCTATCATATTTACTAATTGGTGATTCCCAGAGGTTGATACAAATCTAGCCTACTGTTTCTGTTGTATTCATCATAGCTCCAAAAGCACCAGCTGTCTTATATTCACTCAACTTCTTACCAAACAGTATTCCCATCTGGCTAATGCTATTTGTTCCCTAAATATGACCCTCTGTCCAGTGACAATGAACAGAATAAGGGCAGGGCAGCAGGGAATGGTTGGAGTCCACCTAGGTGCACCAATATGCACCACCAAACAAGACTCCTTTAATGTGTTTCAGATTCATTGGTTTTCTTTTTTGCATCTTGCTCTTGTACAGAATCCAAGAGATGCTGATACTGTGGATGTCTTCATGCTTAATATGGATCAAGATCGTAACAAGAGAATAGATTTTACTGAGTTCCTGTTGATGATATTCAAGCTGACAATGGCATTCAACAAAGCCTACAAGACAGAGTACTGCCACGGTCACCATGAAGATCAGACTGAAAGAGAAGAAGAGGAAGAAGAACAAAAAGGAGGTGAATCAGACTCAAATAATTCAAGTTGGAAAAATGAAAAAGGATATAGTAAATCCAAAACCGGGCAATCACAGGAAACACAGGAAGTCGGGCATAGGTCTGGCTTGGGAGGGAGAGAGAGCGAAGGTTCTCTGTCAAGCTCACAGAAGAAGGTCTCAAAGAAAATAAATCCTGAGTCAAATTCAAGCAATTCAGGAAAGAGCAAAGATAGTAAACATATATCCCACTCAAGCAAACAGGGTGGGAGGAAACAGAATTCAAGGACAAGCCCATCCAGAGTTCATGGAGGAAAAGAATATAACACTGACTCTGAAAACGCAAGTCAAGAGGGTGAGAAAAGATATAACTCCAAAAGGAGTCAAGAAGATGGATTTAAGAAACAAGAAAGCAAATCTAGAGAAAACGTCCCATTAGTGAGTTTTGAAGAACAAGAAGAAATTCTCAGAAGCTTTCAGTCCTCAAGTACAGGGAAATACAATTCTGGCACCGGCTCTGGCTCTGGCTCTGACTCTGGCTCCAGGCAGTCCTCTGGATCTGGCCAATATGGGTCACATTCAGGTCAGTCATCTACCAGAAGGGGACATGGATCTGGTTCACACCCCAAGATAGGCATTCCTGTGGG